GCAGATATGTATAGGTAAATTATTTATGTTTTTATGTAACTAATGGTACTAATAATCTTTCTGTTTCCAAATTAATCTGCACTTTTGGAATTCAGAATATCCAAAAATTAATACACGTGGACATTTCAAAATATTTCTTTTTGGGGAAACTTGAAAAAACTGTTTGATTTTTGTACGTACAGTTTTTTTTTCTATAATTTATACTAACAAAAAATAGATTACACAGGCAATTACCGACCGTTCCTGTCATCATCGTCTGTTTATTTGAAATCCGTTGTTTGGCTGAAGTAATTACCGTGCTGTATTGTGAATTCTAGAGGATTCCGTAGTACGCTTTATTTGTTGTTGTTGTTGCTCCAGGGCTATATACACTAACCGTCCTTAATTTTGAAGTTATAGACTAGAGGGAAGGCAGCACTACTCATCATCACTTTTGGACCACTCTTTACCAACTAATAGCAAATTTAACCGTCACATTATAACGTCCCTGCGATTTAAAGGGCGAAAAGGTTACTTGTGGTTATACGTGAGTTATAACAGCGACGGTAAAATCTCACTATTCAGTCAGACAAGAGTAGCTAAAGTGTTGATGGTGAATGTTGTTGACTAGCCGCATTCCCCCTGGTGTATAAATTTATGGACGTCCCTTGTAGCTTGCAAGAACATCCGAAACGAATGAACAAACTCTTGTTATTAATAGAGTAATTTTGTAGTAACTGACACATCGCTAAATAAATATCAATGTGCAAGCGGTTTTAAATTTTTTGTCGCACAACCCACGGGTTGAGCTGATGTTTGAATACATTTCGAATTTTAAGCCTATCTTTTTGATTTATCACAAACTGCACCCTTGGAAGTAACAAGCATCCAGGTTGATCTTTCAAAAAATAAAAAATAAACACGTTTCAGCACAGACTTGTTCGATAACTAATGTGATCATGAGAGATAATCCAAACCCTGGTAAATTTTTTCTTCTTCTCAGAATTATTAATTTTTAGCTAGTTAACAAGTTTTTAAATCCCAGCTATCACCTAGAATAATATATTTTTGCGAGGTTCATACAGAAATGTTTATAATAACCTTGAAAAATCCGTCAGTGCGGTTTATTGATTTAATTCTCTTACTTTTGAAGCGTCATACGATGTTCTTGCCATCTAGTGGTATTAAATTTCATTACGTCACAGCCATTAATATATATATATTAAATGGACAAATTGTTTGTTTGTTATTCTATCCACTGTGTCCGCCGGGGGGAATCGAAAACCCATATTACGTAAAAGTTTCTGATAAATCTAAATTTATTTCTATTAGTTATATACAGCGTTCATACTACTAATATTTTTATGGAAAAAAAAACGCAAACAAGTTTTAACATTAAGAGAAATATAATATCCGATCTACTTTATAAGTTTTCTACGAGTAATTTGTACTTACTGAAAAGACTACTAAGCCTATCTGTCACTGTCCCTAGTTTTGAACTACTGACAATGGAGAGTTATGCCAAATCTGGAACTCTGAAAAAACCGTAAGACCTGCCCGTAATTGGTTAATGACCGTTAATCCCTTTCACAGGACCTAAACCAACGGTATTGGCGCTATGTTGTAATCATAGTAGCCAGATTGCCAAATACTGAGTTTTATCACTTATCTATACAATACAGGTCGTTTTTCGGGGGGCCATCGTCCT